CCAGGCCTTCCTGAGCTATAGAGTGAGACCCTGAATCAACAAACAGCAAACATTCCTAAGCCCTAGTACCCTCATCCTCCTGGTGTGAGAAAAAGAACACATCACAGGCCCCTGGAGGCCCTCCCATCCATCCATTTCCATCTCCCTCAAAGGCCATGGCTCCCTGGATAATGTACTTACTTCTTCTTTTCTTTTTAACTTGGCTATGTATGTTTGTGAAAATAAAAGGAACTTCACAATGGAAACAACACCGAAGGACCTTCTCAAGCCAGACCAAGCTGAATCATAGCTGTAATCTCAGCATAGAGACTGAGGCAGGAGGATTGCAAGGCCAGCCTGGGCTACATAGGGGGACTCTGGAGAGACAGAGACAAAGACAGAGACAGAGACAGAGAGACAAAGTTTTTCCAAATGAAGTCAGGAAGCCATTAAGGGATCAGGACTTAGGCAGGTCTCGACCTGCTGCTAAGAGCTGAACAGTACTATTTGGCTGCTGGCCTCTGGAATGAGCAGGTACTCACAGTGTGCCACAGTCAGGATGCTCTGAGACTCACACTTTATAGACATCCCTGATGCTTATATATTCTTCATCTTCCATTCTCACACACTCATGTCAAGTAGATTTTGTGATTTTGTGATTTTATTTATTTTTATATGTATTAATGTTTTGCCTGCATGTAAGTTAATGCACCATGTACATGTCTGGTACCTTCAGAGGCCAGAAGGAGGTATCAGAACTGGAGTTACAGATGGTTGTGAGCCACCGTGTGGGTGCTGGGAACTGGAGTTACAGATGGTTGTGAGCCACCGTGTGGGTGCTGGGAACCAAACTCAGGTCTTCTGCAAGACACACTTAATCGCTAAGCCAATTCTCCTGCCTGCTTTTGCATTCTTTTCCACCTTCAACAGGAGTTTCTTTCTCTCTCTCTCTCTCTCTCTCTTTTTTTTTTTTTCCTTTGAGACAGGGTCTCCCTTTAGTCCCATCTGGCCTGGAAATCACTATGTAGATACAGATCTTCCTCCCTCCACATTCTAAATTCTGAGACTAAAGGCACGTGCCACCATGCCCAGTGTAGGAGTTTCTTTTTAAATAATTATTTTATTTATCTTAAAATTTTATTATTATTATTATTATTATTATTTTGGTCTTTTTGAGACAGGGTCTCCCTGCAGCCCCAGCTGGCCTGGAACTCACTATGTAGAACAGGCTGGCCTTGAACTCACAGAGATCCACCTGCCTCTGCCTCCCAAGTGCTGGGACTACAGGCGTGCGCCACCATGCCCTATTTTTATTATTTTTTTATGTGTATGAGTATACTGCCTGCATGTGTGTGAGTGCACCTGTGTCATGCAATGCCGCGGACGTCAGAAGAAAGCTTCAGATTCCCCTGGAACTGGGGTTAAGGACGGTTTGTAGATACCATGTGGGTGCTGGGGATCCAACCCAGGTCCTCTGCAAGAGCAGTCAGTGCTCTTAATCACTGAGCCATCTCTCCAGCCCTAGTAGCATACACCTTCAATTCTAGCACTTGAAGAAGCAGGTACATCTCTGTGAGTTTGAGGCCAGTCTGGTCTACATAGTGAGTTCGAGGCCAGCTAGGACTACATAGTAAGACCCTGTCTCAAAAACAAAACATAAAACAAGATTTATTTATTTATTCATTTATTTATTTAGTGTGTCTGTCTCTGTGTATGAGTGTATGCACATATGTGTATGGGTGCTGAGAGGCCAGAAGAGGACACTGAGTATTCTCCTCTATTGCTCTCTCTACAATCCCTTTGAAGCAGGGTCTACCTCTGAACCTGGAGCTCTTGCTTTCTCAGCAAGCCCTAGTGGTCTAGTCCTCCTGTCTGTGCTCCCTTTGGAGCTGGGATTACAAGAACTTTCAGAGACATTCAATTTGTTACATGGGTACTAGGATCCAAACTAGAGTCCTCATGAGATTGCATAGCAAGCACTCTTTTTAAAAAATATTTTATTTTTATTTTATGTGTATGAGTGTTATGCTTGCATGTAGGTAAGTGCACCCGTGTCATGCAATGCCTGCAGAGGACAGGAGGCTGTCAGATCCCCTAGAACTGGAGTTATGGACAGTTGTTAGCTGCCGTGTGGGTGCTGGGATTCAAACCCAGGTCTTCTGCAAGAACAGTCAGTGTTCTTAACTGCTGACCCATCTCTCCAGCCCTGTCTTGTTTTTTAATCACAAAATAACATGTTGTTTAGCTGTATATATATCTCTAAACTTTATGCAAATTGCCTCTTTGTTTTGTTTTTGTTTTCAGGATAGCATCTCACTATGTAGCTCAGACTGTCCTCCAACTCCCCCATCCATGTATTAATGAGGTCTGACCCTGTTTAACTTCTGAGATGAGACTGAGTGAGTTCATTGTGATGTGGCCTAAGATGCCCTCAGACTCTCCATCTTCATGACTCAGTCTCCTGAGTGCTGGGATCCACCATCACCTCTGGCTTTAAGGTATATCTAGGAGAGTTGGATTTCATCATCCAGGATGAAATGCGATTGTATAAATTACAACAATCCACGATCCCAGTGGAAGTGTTTCAGTTGTTGGATGTGTTCTCAGCTTCCCCATGTCAGCTAATACTTCATATTTACAATCTTTTCTTTCATTTGCTTTTTTTTTGGGGGGGTAGACTTTTTGAAACAGGATCTTACACTGTAGCTCAGGCTAGTCTTGACTTCAAGCAACCCTGTGCCCCCTGAGTAAGGATTACAGCTGAGAGCTGAGAGCCAACATGCTTCTCTCTCTCTCTCTCTCTCTCTCTCTCTCTCTCTCTCTCTCTCGATAGCTTTATTAGCTATGAGGGGCATGGACCTTCCCTCAGGTATGGAGGTCGGGACATCAGGGTTGGGGACGTATAGGATTTACAGGTGGACCCAGAAAAGGGGCCATGACCTCTGGGAATCTCAGAAAGTGAGTGCCTTCCCAGCATTCCGGAAAGCAGAGCATGCACCTCTTAACTTCATATTGGTCTTTAACTCCTGGATCCAAGAGATTCTCCTGCCTCAGTCTCTGAAGTAGTTCAGAATGACTGAACCACGCACTTGGAAATCTTAACAAATTTTAATTTTTAAAACTTTTATTTCTTATCTGAAAGCAGTATCTTGTGGTTTTAAAACCTCTTGCAGAGGACCTGGGTTTGATTCCCAGCACCTACATGGTAGCTAACAACCCTCCATAACTCCAATTCCAGGGACATCCTCTTCTGACCTCTTTGGGCATTGCACAACAAGGGTGCACTTACACATGTGCAGGCAATACACTGATACACAAAATAAAAACAATAAATATTAAAAAATATAACATTCAGCATCTTGTTATATGCTTATTAATAATTTGTTTCCTCTTTTATGATGTGCCTAGTTGAGTTAGTTGCCCATGTTTTTTTCTGTTGGCTCTTTTTTCCTTGACGTACACACTATTTATTTGGCTTGGTGGTTTTTGTTCATTTGTTTTTGTTTTTGAGACAGGGTCTCACTTGCACAGTGAGACCCTAGCCCTGGCTGACCCAAAACTACCTATATCGACTAGGCTGGCTTCCAACTCACAGAGATCCCCTTGCCTCTTGTGTTTGATCTTTGAAACACAATCTCTTGTAGCCCATGCCTTCGCCAAGCTACTGTAGCTAAGGCTGGCCTTGAACTTCTGATTCTCTTAACCCCTGATCCTCCTACCTCTACCTCTACCTCTACCTCTTTAAGAACTTGACTCTGCAGTTTTTTCTTTCTCAGTCCTAGTTTCCTTTCCTGTCGCTGTGATAAAATACTCTTACAGAAGCGATTTAGTGAAGAAAGGATTAATTTTAGCTCTCAAGGTCCATCACGGCTGGGAAGTAAAGATGTGTGGATCTTGTCTGCTTTGGGCAGTGCTGGGCATCAAACCCACTGAGCCACTGAAGCCATTGAGCTACAGCTTCAGCTTCTTTTGAAGGCCTTTGGACAGGGTCTCCCTGTAGCCCCAGCAGGCCTGGAACTCGATATGTAGACCAGGATGGCCTCCATCTCACAGAAATTCGCCAGCCTCTGCCTCTTGGGTGCTGGGACTAAAGGAGGGGACCACTTGCCCAGCCCTTTTTGTCAGGTCCTTTATGAAACATGAATGTGCCTTTCCATCTAGCTAAACTGCTGGGGAGGAGGCTCCCCGCTGGTGCGAGGCGGGAGTAGTACCTACAAAATAATAAAGCAGTTAGGCTCTCTTACAGCCCTATCCCAGGCGGTGGGTGAAGGGTTGGAGGTACAGTGCACTAAGCCTTTCGTTGCCCTCTGAAGTGCGCGTTACCAGACAGGGGAGGAGGTTCACAGGGTGTTTTTGTTTTGCTTTGCTTTTTAGGGAACCAGTCACTGCTGTTAGATTTTGGATGCGGGTGTGGGCGCCTAACTGTGAACTCGCCGCTCTTACTTTGGTGGCAGGTGCGGGGGGCCGCTGTTTCACAGCCCAGGCGTTAACTTGTGATCTGCGAGTGCGCCGGGTCTCCCAGCATCTCACCAGGCTCCCCACCCGAAGACCAGATTCCACCCATTTACAGTCATCTGGCTGCACCCAGTCAAGTGCGCGGGTGCTTCACAGACTAACCTGTAGGACCAGAGAAAAGCGAGGACCGCTGCTGCACTCAAAGCCACAGAACCCGGAGGCGGAGCGGCACACTGAACGCCGACAGTCGGCGTACCCCGCCTCTAGTGAAAGGTAGTTATCTTTTGGGAACGCGTCTCGGCCAGAGGATGCGGGGTCCGCGGACGCCGTCGGGGTGTCCCGGGATGGACTGCAGCCTGGCCCAGAGCCGGCGCGGACCTGCAGAACTGTGGAACCTGAACCTGGCGGTGTCTCGGCCACCTCCGCGGGGTCACCCCTCCAGCAGGTCATCAGGGCTGCTGGAGCGCTGCGCTGGAGCTGCAGGTGGAACCCCGGGACGCGGCGGGCGGGGTCTCGAGGCGCGTCACCCGTACTGCGCTCCTGATTGGCGGGTCCGGGAGGCGGCTCCGAGGAGGTTGCTGCGGTTAGACAGAGCCGGAGTAACAGGACTCTGATCGCGTCGCCCGAAGCCGCGGGTGGGATCCCACAGGACACGCGCCATGCCCTACCTGCTCATCAGCACCCAGATCCGCATAGTGAGTACCCGCGGGGGCCGCGACCACCACTCTGCACCTCCTTCCCGGGGTTTGGGGGTGGGGGTTGGCCAGGAACCGCGCAGACACGACCCCGCAGCGCGGGCTCCAGCTGGGGGAGGCGAACTCCAGGGCGGGGTGCTTGCAAGGACCCAGTCCAGCCGGTCTGCAGACACACGCAAGGCGCCCTGGCTCCATGAGAGCTGCATCCGGTGTCCGGCTCCGGAACGGAGGTGCTCCCCAACGTAAAGTGGAACAAGGTTTGAGAGGAAAAGGCGGTGCAAAGTCGCTGAGCCTGTGCGGAGCCCCTGGCCATACGCACAGCTGCTTGGGCCTCTAGACTCCAGTAAGGGCTGGTTCTGAAGCGCAGAAAGAACTCTATTTGTGAGGAAGGAGAGGGCCGTGGGAGGGGGTGCCTCACCTGGAGAAAGAGGTGCTAGTTGTTTCAGAAGCCCCCTCTTAAGCTTCCAAATGATATAGGACGGCCCCCAGCTAAGCAGCAGGGTCCCCTCTCCCGCTTCCTGCTTCCCAGTGTCCCAGCACCCCAGCAGTGGGCACCCAGTGCCCTTGGGATGAAGGGAAAGTAGTGGGTTCTTCATGTAACAGGACAGGTCTTGGCAGTGCCTGGAGGCTGGTAGTTTGAGAATCAGTCACCTGTATGGTTAAATATGGATTGCTGGGCTCTTTCCCCAGATTTCCTCTCTGGACTTGGGAATCCATACTCGAAAATGTCTTCAAATAATAATTTTTAATTCTTTTTTTTTGTGTGTGTTGAGACTGAGTTTCATCTAGCCCAGACTGGCCCCAAACTTGCTGTGTATTGAAAGCTGGTCTTGCCTCCCAAGTGCTGAGAATACAGGCATGTGCCACCAGCCTGGTTTTCTTTTAATTTTTATTTCTAATTATGTATTTGTGTGCCCGTGTGCATATGAATGCAGGTGCCCACGGATGACAGAAGCATTGGATCCCCAGGAGCTGGAGTTACAGGTGGTTGTGAGTCAAAGTCAAGGGACATGGTTACTGGGAATTGAATTTGTGTCCTTTGGAAACCCAGTATGTGTTCTTAAGCACTAAGTCATCTCTCCAGCTCTTGGCTTTCTTCTTTTTAGATACAATTTCATTGATATGTAATACAATACGAAAGCACTCACTGGATGAACATCTACAATTAAATGCACTTTTTAAAAAAATATTATGTGCCAGGCATGGTGGCATATGCCTCTAATCCCAGTACTCGGGAGGCAGAGGCAGGCAGATCTCTGTAAATTCAAGACCAGCCTGGTCCACATAGTGAGTTCCAGGCCAGCTGGGGCTACAGGGAGACCCTGTCTCAAAAAGACCAAAAAAATTATTTTTATGTGTATGAGTGTTGTGCCTGCATGTATGTGTGTGTGTGTGTGTGTGTGTGTGTGTGTGTGTGTGTGTGTGTGTGATGCAATGCCCACAGAGGTTATAAGAGGGAGTCAGATCACTGGGAACTAGAGTTATGGATGGTTGTTAGCTGCCATGTGTGTGCTGGGAACCACGTGGGTCCTCTGAGGCTCTTAACCACTGAGCCATCTCTCTGGCCCTCAATGCAGCTTTTTAAAAAAGCATCTGCAGAGCTGTGCAGCCATCTCTGTAATCAATTTTAGAACATTTCCAACATCAACAACATATACTTACAGGGTCCATTAACAGTGGCTCACTTCCCCTAATGTCCTCAGGCCCAACTAACTTACCTTGTGTTTGTGATTATGCTCTTCTGGGTCTGGCTTTTCTCACATGTCTTCAAGTTCCATTCACATTGTAGGATGGATGTATCAGTATGGCATTCCAGCCAAGTCAGATTCCACTGTAAGGCTACACTGTTTTTTTTTTTTTTTTCCAAGAGTCTCACTGTGTAGCCCAGGATGGCCTCAAAGCCCAGGTCCTCCTCCCTCAGCCTCTTGAGTATTAAGAGTGCAGGCTTGCCAAGTTTACTGCTATGAATATTTATGTATGTGCTTTTGTTGTTTGTTGTTTTGGGTGGTGGTTGTGCCTGCCTGTGTTGAAATTTTTATATGGACATGTGTTTTCATTTGTTCTCCAAAAGAAATGGTACAGATACACACAAACATGGCTTGGTGGTACCTGGCCTAAGGGAGCCAATAAGTAAGCAGTGTTTAGAGGCAATAAGCATTGTTTGGAGGAGTTGGGGAGACCCCACCTTGCTCCCCTCCCAGCTGTGCTCTACCACCACAGATCCTCACCACTGCCTCCCCCTTTATGTGCAGCATGCCCAGGGCCAGCAGGCAGGAGAAGAAGGAAAGCAAGACTTGCCACATCTAGCTGGCAGCCAGCCAAGCAGCCATTGTGGCTTCTCTTACAGGAGGTGGGCCCCACCATGGTGGGCGATGAGCACTCAGATCCAGAGCTGATGCAGCATCTGGGAGCCTCGAAGAGAAGTGTCCTAGGAAACAACTTGTAAGTAGAAGTCAGCTCCTTCTCCCTGGCAGTGCCTAGTCCTGTCCATTCCCTGTATACAACCATCAAGCCCCAAAACAATAGCTATTGGAGGGCTCGGCCTCATCTGCAGCCCCCCACACAGCCCAAGGCTTAGTGAGAACTTCCCACAAGACCCCAGCCAAAGTAGCTCATCCTTAGTGGAAGTCTAAGACTGCCTGTCCGAGTCTAGGCCTCTGTAGTGGACTATTCCTAGCCTTGCCCTCAGCTCTAACTAGATTCCATCAACAAAGACAAGCCTGCCTTGAAGGGCTGGCTGAGAGACAGAACTCAAGCCCTGGAAATGGGGCAGGACACCTGGATCCTCCTCCTAGCTAGTGGCTGCCTGGACACTCTGCCACTTTCCTCAGCTTCCTTCACACCTTCTCCATGTCTAAACAGCACTGCTTCCTTTTCTGCTCTCTTGTCCTGCCAGTAGTAAGGGCGAAGCATCAAACAGATTCAGGAATCCTGAGAGTTGCTAGAGTCTTAGTGCAAGACAAACAGGTCCCCAGCTCCCTGGGTCAGGGCTTTGAGCAGAAGCCAGTCCCATCATTCGCCAGGAGATACTTGCTTCAAGATATATAACTTAGCTAGGTGTGGTGGCACACTCCTTTAATACCAGCACTTGGGAGGCAGAGGCTGGATAATCTCTATGAGATAGAGGCCAGCCTGGTCTACCCGAGTTCCAGGTAAGCTGGGGTTACAGGGAGGCCCCGTCTCAAAACAAAAGAGATGCCCAGCTTGAGGTTTGAGCCCCTTATGGGCTTCACAGTCCTTTCTACACATCAACCTGAAGGAAAGCAAGCTTTTCTCCGTGCCACTAAATGTCACAGGGAGTCAGGAGCTATTTGGGGCAAACTTCTTGCTTTGGGACTGCATGGCAGCCAGAGGGGCCTGAGCCCCAGGGGAAGCAGGCTGCTCCTCTGAATGGTGGGGTGCTCAGACTAGCACATGTGGTGGTTCTAAGACTAAGATGGGGCAGGTATCCATCTTCTCATGTATAAATGGGAACAGTAATGGCCTTTTCACTGGCTGTTGGGAGAATAATGTATGTGAAGTATGAAGCAGAGCGACAGGAAACGTGCAGTTTAGCTCGTCACCCCAGAAGTGCCCAGCAAATGGGTCATTACGAGACCTTCTGAACAGGCCTGACATTTCAGCAGAGGCCAGCTTTGTTTGGGGGCTGCGTCCCCTTATGCCACCTTCCCCCTTCTCTTTACAGCTGTGAGTACTACGTCAACGACCCACCTCGCATAGTTCTCGACAAGCTGGAGCGCAGGGGCTTCCGTGTGTTGAGCATGACAGGGGTGGGCCAGACGCTGGTGTGGTGCCTGCACAAGGAGTGATCTGCTCATGCTGACTTGTGGATAGGCCACCAAGAGCCTTGCCCATTTCTTTCGAATTGTCACCTTCCTTGGCCCAACACTGATGGGCAGTTAATGGCCTCAGAAGTCCTGCTGCCATTGGTGGGGCACAGCAGACCCTTGTCCTGGTGTTCCCAGTTGCCCTCCAGCTACAGGCCTGACTCTGGCTTTTATTGTAGGTTCTGTACTGAAGACAAGCTGCCCAGGCCAGAAATGGACAGCCCAGTAGAGCACAGCCCCTGGACCTGGTCAGGAGGCTCCTGCACAGCTAGTCCAAGCCAATAAAGGGCTCTCATGAGTGGTTGTTCCTCAGCTCTGTTGTGCAGTGACTTGAAAAATGTGACATTCTCTGTTGGTGTGTTCCCATCCATGGAGGAAGGGCTTGACTGGGGCCTTCTGTGAAAGAGCCCAGCCCAGCATATTTTGTTTTGTTTTTGTCGTTTTTTGACACAGGGTCCCCTTGTAGCCCCAGCTGTCCTGGAACTCACTATGTAGACCAGGCTAGCCTCGAACTTACAAAAATCCTCCTGCCTCTGCCTCCCAAGTGCTGGGATTAAAGGCATGGGCCACCACACCCAGACTGTGTTTTTTTTTGTTTTTTTTTTTTTTAATTTTTATCGGGGCTTGGTGGCACACTCCTTTAATCCCAGCACTTGGGAGGCAGAGGGAGGTGGATCTCTGTGAGTTAGAGGCCAGCCTGGTCTCCATTAGCGAATCCAGGCAAGCTGCGGCTACAGGGAAACCTTGTCTCAAAAAGACCAAAATATATATATATATATATTTTTTATGTGTATGAGTGTATTGCCTGCATGTACTGCGTGTCGTGCAATACTGCAGAGGTCAGAAGAGGGTTTCAGATTCCCCTGGAACTGGAGTTAAAGACGGCTCGTAGCCGCCATGTGGGTGCTGGGAATCGAACCCGGGTCCTCTGCAAGAGCAGTCAGTGCTCTTAACCGCTGAGCCATCTCTCCAGCCCCCAATGCAGACTGTTTTTTAAAAAAGTTTATTGGTGCTGTTTCCAAAAAGGGCTGAGGGGTGGGAGAACTAGAACCAAGGCTACGTGGGCTGCCCCCCATCTTCCTGCATTCGGGCGATCAGCTGCTGCCGGTCGGCTGCCTGGCGCATACGCATCATGACGAGGCTTTCGTAGTCTCTCTCTGACAGCACTGAGCCCTGGGGACAGAGAGGACAGGGAAGAGTCAGGGCAGTAGGGCACAGCCCCACAGACTAGACTCAAGATGAGTTAGAGCTAAGTCTAAATAAAAGCCAAGGATGGAGAAGGGCAGGAGGGAAGGCCTGGGGCTTTCTGGACTCCAATCCATCCAGGTTCCTTTAGAGGGAGCAGGCCTTTGTTCTCCAGGCTCTCTCCTCCACGCTTCCCTTTGGCTCATCTCTAATCTTTTCCCACTACCTTCCTTTACCCAGACCGATCATATCTGTCTATAGCTTGCTTGGGTTCAGCCCTTCCTTGTGAATCACTTTCCTACTGCACTGGCCTGGTTCATTTCCTCTCAGCTTTTTATCTGACCCTCTCTCTCCACTCATGGCTTCCGCCTGGCAGGTTTCTAACTACAGAGGTCTGAGGTGCAGGGACCCAGCCGGCTCTGCTGGGCATAGATCGGAGGACTGCCCCCATGTGCACTGTCCCCATATGTTTTGCTCCCATGTGGTCTGTCCCAATGTGCACAGTCCCGGTGAGATCTGGCTCCTGCTGAGAATGCAGAAGCAAGTCCTGCCAGCCACACAGCCTCAAAGTTCAGAAGATGAGAAAAGCAAGCATGAGAGCAGCGTGCCAAGTAAAGATACACACAGGGCTCCTGGAGGGCAAGGTCTGTGGCTTGCTTTTATGTTCTTGTTAGCAGTGTGGGGTATTGAGGGCTATACTTTAATAATGTAAAGAACAATAAACAACACCTCAATGAGCCAAAGATGGGGTAGTGAAACCGTTCTCCAGCAGAGCTGAGCTGCCAACTCCACACTCTGATAAGAACAATAGTATGAATTAGATCATTTCCTCCCTCAGTGTGGCTGAAAATGTGAGACCATCTTGTGTTCCAACAGCTGTTTAGAGAGATGGAAAACCCATCTGAGTTGGCAGAGGCAAGCCAGGCCAGGGGTTGAAAGTGCAGTGGCCTATCTGTAGCAGAGAGCTGTGGAGCCCTGCCGGTGGCACTCTATACTGGTGTCATCCTGTACAAGGCAGCTTAGTGCTCAGTGACCCAGGGAATAAGACGGGAGTGGCTGGAGTTAAGCTGCTAGCCCTTGGCCAACCAGTTTGGAATAAGGGGTATAGAGAAACAGGAAGTCCCCCTACCCTTATACATGCCCCCTGCCAGGAGTAGCCCTTCTCAGACACTCTAACAACAACCACTGACAATTCAAGGCAACCCTACATGGCCCAGCCTTCTCCACAGAAGGGGACCCCAAATGAGGCCCTGCAGCTGGAGGGAAAGGAGCAATGATATGGGAGCAGCAGGGCCCTGACCCTCAATCGCTGGAGGTATTGGGATGGCAAGAGCAAGAAACTGAGGGGCCACACTGATGTCAAGGCTGTGGGGAAGGCAGCACTCCTGCCCCAAGTTAATATTGCTCTACCGAAAAAACTTCAAGTCACCCTTGGCATGCCACTGGCAGCCCTGGGAGGAGTGGAGCCTTTATAGGCATGGGGCTGTTCCCGTTAACACACCTTCTACATATCCCCCCCCCCCCCCCCCCTCTCCCTGCCCCCCCCCCCCCCCCCCCCCCGCTTTCCTGTGGCTCTGCTAATGAGGGCCTGTCATCCAGCCCCAAGGCTGAGTCACCCACACCAGCAGGTCTCTCTTCCTTCCCCAGCAATTGTTCCAAAAGCTCACCTTTCAATTAGTACACCTCCCTGGGTTCCTCCCAGAGATATTTGGGGCTACAGAGCCCGGCAGGCCTGCTGGGGTCAAGGTGGTGGGGCTGTGACTAGAAAGGAAGCAAGCTAGTGACACACCAAGCAGGGCTGTCCCCAGAGGAATCCAAAGCTTCCCACTGCCCTGGGGTGTTGGTCACAGGTGCCCCAATCCCAGCCTGGCCTACTGATGCTACAATTACCTCAGAGCATGAAACCGGCTTCCCACCTGACTGAGTCAGCTGAAAACAAAATATATCTCTCTACCACACACTGGCATAAACAGCCAAGCCACTAATCAGTCCCACAGCTGCCGGCAGAGAGGACACAGTCCTACATTGACCAGGAGACAGGGCACACGCTGGGAGCCACCAGAGAGAGGATGAGCAGGGGCCCAGCTGCCACTGACCTGTGGAAAGTTCACATGCTCCCCTGCCAGCAGTGAAGGTTCTGCCCTGCCACCTGGCTGCCCTGCCTATACCTTGTTCCTGCTCTGCTCCGTAAGTGCTGCTTCTTACTCTGTCATTTGCCTCCCCCCACACGTCTATCAAGTAACCGGCCACTCTCATCCAGGTGGGAACTTTTGTTCCCTGGTGCTCTGCTCTCCAGGCCTTGTCTCACCACCAAGATGCAGGTCAGAGGACCACGCTGAGCAGAAAGCACTGTTTGTTTCTAGCCGGTGAGGGCTCTCCCTGGTTCTTGGCATTCAGAACTCTGGCAGGTACCAAATGGTCTCTAGCTGCTCTTGAACTCCTCTATGGGCTTCTTAGGTACCAGGTCTGACTGCTGACTCCCAGGAGTCCCATGGAGACTTGGCGGAAAGGCTCCTTCCGCAATGCCTCCCTCTTCAAGCGACTGACCCTGGGGCGGCCACGGCGACTTCGGCGACAGGGCAGCGTGCTTAGCCAGGCCAGCACTGCTGGTGGCGACCATGAGGAGTACAGCAACCGAGAAGTCATCAGAGAACTGCAAGGGAGGCCAGATGGCCGGCGCCTGCCCTTGTGGGGGGACGAGCAGCCCCGAGCCACCCTGCTGGCTCCACCCAAGCCCCCTCGCCTCTACCGAGAGAGCTCCAGCTGCCCCAACATTCTGGAGCCCCCAGCTACCTACACTGCTGCCTACACTGCTACCCTGCCCTCAGCGATCTCCCTGGCAGGCCCCCTCCACCAATTCTCAGAGGAGGACCTTTCAGACACTTCCCATTTCCCAAGGACACCTGCTCCGGACCTCAGTGATCCTTTTTTCTCCTTCAAAGTGGACCTAGGGATTTCACTTCTGGAGGAAGTTCTACAGATGCTGAGGGAGCAATTCCCCAGTGAGCCCCGCTTCTGACCCAGCTGAGGGTGGCAAAGCTGGGGTGAGTGGAGGAGTGGAGCCTGAAGACCCAGGGAAGGTACAGTGGGGGCTAAAGGAACTGGTGGAGATAGGACTGGGTGCTGACCAGTTCTCCAAGTCACCCCAGGGTGGAAGGACTGGTCAGCTGGGAATGCAATTGGGGGGGGGGGTCCCTTTCTGGTAGGAGCCCTGAAGGAAGGTGGAGAGGCTAGTAAAAGGAAGCCACACCCTGTAACCACAGGACCCTGTCAGAGAGACAAGATGGCACAGGGCGAGTCAAGGTGTAGGACACAGACTGGGCAGAACAGATAGTACCCTACACCAGCCTCTAAAACCACTGTCAACAGAAAATCAACAGGACACATCTAGGAAGAAGTGGTCCAACTGAGATCAAGAAGTAAAGTAGGCAGGCTGGTCAGGGCTATGTAGTGAGACACTGTCTTAAAAAAAACAAGCAGGAAAGTGGGCAGGCCTGAGAGGAAAGGGAAGACAGGCTTGCCTTTGTCCAATGTGGCTGCCACTTACTTCATATGGCTGTTTAAATTAATTGAAGTAAAATCAAATTGAAAATTCAGTTCCAGGGGCTGTGGAGATGGCTCAATGGATTAAGTATTTGTTGCGAGTGTGAGGACTGGAGTTCAGATCCCCAGCACCCACATACAAAAGCATGGCAGCCCACCTGGAATTCCAGTGCTCAGGAGGCAGAGATGGGATCCCTGAGGCAAACTGGCTAATTAGACTGGCGAACTGGCAAACTTTAGGTTCAAGCTAGAGACCCTGACTCAGTAATAAAAAATGGAGAGCACCACCTTTAATCCCAGCACTCAGGAGGCAGAGGCTGGTGGATCTATGAGATCTAGGCCAGCCTGCTCTACACAGCAAGTTCAGGCCAGCTGGGGCTACAGGGAGACCCTGTCTCAAAAGAAAAAAGAAAAAAGGAACCAAGAAAGACACCTGACATCAACCCCTGGCCTCTACATGCACACGCACATTCATGCATGTGCACACCCCCACACGAACATTCATATACACACATACACATGCACACACCATTGGCACACATACACATACACAAAAAGAAGGAAGAAAATCTAGCTCCTTGTCATCCTAGCCACTTTTTCCCCTTGAGGATCTCAAGTAAACCAGGCTAACCTCCAACTCACTCTTTAACAAGAATGGCCTTAAACCTCTGATCCTCCTGCCTCTACCTCTTGAGTGCCGAGATTACAGGTGTGCACTACCACACCCAGTTTTTACGTGGTGCTGGGGATTGAAACCAGAGCTTCATGCATGCTAAGCAAGCACTCTACCAGCTGAGCAACATCCCAGCCCCCTAGCCACATTCCAAATGCTCAATAGCCACACCCGATTGATGGTTACTATACTGGACAGGGCAACTGACATTGCTGGACCAACGTCCACTGGTGAGTGCTGGCCACACCAGTGTGGAACCATCAGAAGCATAGGCCGCCAGCCATGGGTTGCAAGAGCAGGTACACAGAGTAAAACGCAGGGAAAAAGCCTAACAATCAGTAACAGAGAGGGCATGAGACTCAACCTGCCCACAGACCTCCCAGAGCAGTCCCTGATGCCTGAGGAGGCAGCTATAGGACTGCCAGCTTGCAAAGGAGTGCTTTGGGGAATTCCCACAACTATCATGTACAGGAGCCTTTGGGAAATGTTGTAAAACAACAGACTTCCTTCCTAGCAGAGAGGAGAACTGGATCAGTGAATGGACACTATACCATGAAGAGGCTCTAGAATCCTCCACCAGGACTGTGGGGCTCTACCTTACCCAAACCAGGCCAAGACCTCAAGTTGTGCTACTGCCCCACCCTGTGGCCTAGCCAGAAGATCTGAATCCAGAACTCCAGCAGCACTTGGTTGGACAATGTGGGTCTGAACCCCAGGTCTCTCCCAGGGTGAGAAGGCAGAGGGAAGCTTTGACATGCTGTCTCCACAAATCAAAGCGTTCCTCTTTCTTCCTCTTGTGTGGAGGTGCTGAGCAAAAAGTTTCCTCTGGATCCAGGAGACAATAAAGTTTTTTCTAACATGACCAATGGAGTGTTACCTGGGCTGTGAAATGCTGGGACTTAAAGATGAGGAAATAAAGCCTCTTTTAATACAGGGTCCTGAGCTGGGCTTAGGCTACTTCATGTTTCTCCTCTGTCCAGGGTCTGGGACACATTCCCAGAAAGCTTCCAATGCCTTAGGAAGGTGTTGAGACAGGTAATGGAGCAGAGATCCTGCTAACCTGCTGAGAGGCTCTGGACCCAACAATACCCAGGCTGTTTCTGAAAAGGAAAAAGCCAGGCTGCTGGCTCCTGCCCCCCAAACAGTCAATCCCTCCAATATGGAGAACAGCAGTGTCAAGGAGCCCTGTGCCCCAGCCTTTGTAGTCAGATTGAAAAACAGTGGGCCATGGGGGCCAGGGTGAACACAAGCCACTGTGGAGTTGCAAAGACTAAGGCAGCCCTGGACCCACTCAGCTGGAAGGTACACACTGCCACAAGGGGGGCACCATAGCACCCCAGGTTCTGCATGGGACTGATGCCATTTTTAGAGATGTGCTTCTTCAGAGTCAGTCCGTGAGTAGGCAGCCAGAGACACCCCTGGAAAACTGAAGTACTGGGGAAAGACACAGCTGCCCTCCTTACTTGCCTGCTACGCCTTCTGCCCAGCACTGGGCTGTCTAAGCTCAAATCCTTTATATCACACCAAGAGCCACCAGGCAAGAGGTGCCCTCTCGGGGGGATGAGAGTGCCAACAGGAGATGTACATGGAAGATAAGGTCCAACCTTTGGGTAGGCCTGGAAGTGTACCTCAGTGACGGAATGTAGGCTAAGCATGAGTGAGACCCCAGGTTTGATCCCATGGTCAGGGAAAAAAAAAAGAAAGAAAATTATATGGTATAGGGTCCCTCTTGTCTTCAGAGAACAGGGATCAGCAGGAAATCAGCCTTCCTGCTTGGGCTACTGGACCTACCAATCTATTCAACACCCACCAATCTGGACTTGGGAAGAAAGGGCCTGAGAGTAGAAGAGGATGGCCCCAAACCCCCAGCAGGCCCAGCTAGGCGACTCGGGCCTCTTACCTTTGACAATCCTTGGGGGATGGGGCCCACTGTGCCCCGGGGCTGTCCCTCCAACCAGGAAATCTTCAGAGGGTTGTCCACCAGTCCCACTTCATTCTGGACTGCCAGCTCCTACCAAACAGAGTATCTGGTCTCTGTTCCATCCATTCCATCAGCCATAAGGGGCTCTTTCTACGCCACAGAAAGACCAGAACCAGCATTCTATTTCCCCATGCAGAGCTAGGCAACCTCAGCTACCTGCAAACAATGGTATGCTGGAGCTCTAACCTTGTGGTGGGAGAGGGGAGGGGATGCGCTTTCTGATTTGGAGGAGCAAGGAGGAACATGCAGGATGGGAAGGCAAAGTTGGTGCAGGATGAGGGTGTTGTATGGAGCCAGCCAGAGTGAAATTAGATCAGAGCATTCTCCTACCAATTCTGAGAGTCAGGGGCCTTCAGAAGACTAGACTTGAGTTGGCCTACACTAGGAATGTGGGTCACCTAATTAGGAGGACCCATAAAGTTCAGTCCTACCCAGAAGATAGAGTTGACAGTGTGCCCAAACCCCACAGAGCACTCACCGCAGCTTTGACAGTTGCAAACTCCACTATGGCAGTGCCTGCCTTCTTCCTGGAAAGCACCAGGTTGAGAACCTCCCCATACTGTGAGGATGAGAGAGCCATAGTAAGCAGTCAGCGTGGCCTAGCTTGTGCCAGAGTCCAGCCCTGGAATAACTTCTTATTTTTAGGGGCTCAGAGAGGTAAGGCTGGAGAGTAAATTAAGGTGTTTCATTTTCCTAGGTACACAGGACATTATAGGAGAGATGAAGAAAACACTGGAACCTAGGCTGGCACAGTGGCACAGCAGCCACTGCCTGCTGAAGGCAGGAAGAGGAGGGGTCGTGCCAGGTGAACCACCTCCTCTCTCCCAGCACATCCAGACAAACCCTGTGCTTCAGGGAAAGGCCTGGGCCTAGGCAGGAAGGAGAGAGCAGGCGTGGGGAGCACAGGACAACTCAAGTGATGGGAGGACTGGCCTAGAGAAAGTCTGTAGGCTGTGCCATAGTTATGAGGCAGCCAAAAAAAAAAAAAAAAAAAAGAGTAAGCGACATTAATGATGTCCAGGGGCGTTTGGGCTACTTGGGCTGAGACAACAGGAAGTGGAAGTCTGGAGAGAAGACCTTTTGCAGAAGCCTCAGGAGAATATCTTTGGAGTAGCCACCTTGGGATTCATCGTCCTTCTGGCACTTCCACTTCAGCTGAAAAGACATCACCAACAATACCACCAGACCTGCAAGTGAGCCGGCCACCCTGAGCAGACACAAAGCCCCCTGTAATCTAGACCACGCAAAGCACGCTTTCCTCTTGGAAACTGAGAGGGAGGCTGTGAGATCAGCCCTGCAACATACTTCCTGCCTTGTAAGAACCCTTCCAAAGGGCTTCTGAGGGCTTTCCCACACTGCTGTGGAAAGCTCTGAGAAGCAGACCTGGGCTCCAGGGCACTGAAGGATGGAAAGGATATGGAGCAGTGCTGTTCCCATGGGAAGTTCCTGTTTTTGCTGAGGTGATGTGCTGTGGTCCACAAATCCCACCAGACTTACCTTTAGTTTGGGTGTTCCTTTGCCTTCAGTACTTTCTGTTTTATCTGAAAATATTGAGAAAATAAGAAAGGTAAAGTTTCAGAGAGTCCAAGGTTCTCACAAAGGAGAGGTGGTACCAATCCAGAGGAACTAAAAAGGCTACTCCTGACCAAGGCCAATGTCTCCTGCCTAGGAGGAAGGTCTAGTAGGAAAGGTAGATGCAATTCCACCCTACCCTGGGTGGCCTGTTCAGTCATCTCCTAAAGGCCACCTATTGGCTTTCTCAGACTAAGAGCTGGGAATACATCCTGAGGGCCAGAGGCAGAGACACAGCATATGGTTCCACTGAGGCCAAGTACCCCAAGAACTGGTAGGAAGAAGAGAAAGGCGGCATGTGCTGCAGTAGGATGCTATGGATGCCATGGGGGGCCCACATGCCAGAACCTCCATAACCACTTCACCAAGCAGCCAGCACGGCCACTTAACAGGGTGGGGTACAGCTGCCCTGGAGGGGAGGGGGCAGAGGAGAGGGTGTACTCTCACCTCTCAGCCTCTGCTCACGGTCCTGGCGGATCTGCTCCCGGACCAGCCTCTGCTGCTCCTCCAACTGACGAGAACCCTCTTCTCGCAGGCGTGCAATCTGCAGGGTGGGGGATGGAGGGTGGGATGACAATTCTGTGCAGATCCAATTCTAGGTTGGCTCACCTTGTAAAGGTCCCTGGGAGGTTCCACTTGCAAGCTAGGGCTCAGCAACCTGTGAGTGGGATAAATCACCCAGCTCCCACAGAAGATAGAAAGAACAAGCTCTCCCAACACTACAATTACCCAGGTCCCACCTCCCCCTCCTCTGGGAGGGCCTTCAAGCTACAGGGTCTGGATGCTCACCTCTTGCTCTAGTGTTGTGGTACTCCGGATCTCTTCCTCTTCCTCACTCCCTTGGGCCTGGGCCTGGCGCTCCCGGGCCTCCAGATCTAGACAAAGGGTTGAGTGGCCTAATTGCTAATTTGCACAAACCTGCCATGACCTCAGTCCACCCCAGCTCTGGATGCTTCCCCAACATCTTAAACAGGATGACAGCATATAGTAACCTCCCACTGTGCCCACATACTTTATTGCAAAAGGACATAACACAGAAGAGGGTTGGGTTCCTGCCAAGCAGCCAGGGGTCTGGAAGAGTTAAACAGCTCACACTGACCAAGCAGGTTCTCTCCACACAGTGAACAGAGAACAGCCCAGGGCAGTGTGTCAGGGATGCCTGTGGGTAGAGCTGCTAGCCTGTGTTCCTGTGGCTTGACACCACAGCCTGATCTGTGCCTCTGCTTTGATTCTTTTCTCCACTGAGCTCAAGCTCTCACTGTCTCCCATCCTGCCACCTCACTGTCCTGTGGCACACCTCGCTGTGGCTGTGGCTCTGGCTCCAGTAGCTTCTCCAAAGATAGGCAAATTGGTCCTGTATACTTCTCACATACCAAGGGAAGATTGCTGAAGCCCTGTGCTAGGCCAGCTGTCATGACAAACTCTTCTCTCAGGCCTGAGACTCCCTGCTTTCCTTTTTGCCTACTTTATTTACCTGGAACTTCCACTCACTGCACCCTGCTCCAGTTCGGAAGATCAAAACCAGGGCCCTGCACATGCTAAACAACTGCTCTACTACTGAGCCACACCAAACCCATTTGTTTGTTTGTTTGTTTTGAGTAGAGAAATGGATGCACTAGGATGGTATAGGCATAAATTAAAATATATGGAAACATAAGAGAGAAAATTGAGTACAGAGAACCTGGACCAGTGTTACTGAGTTGATAAAATTGTTCTAAAACTGATTTACCACTTGGATGTGGTAGCTCAGGCCTACATTGTAAGTATCCAGAAGGTTGATGTAGAAGGATTTTCCTTCAGTGTGAGGGCAGTCTGTGCTACATAGTTTGGGCCAGCCTGAACGAGAGAGAGAGACAGACGAGAGAGAGAGAGAGAGAGAGAGAGACCCTGTCTTTTTTTTTTTTTTTTTTTTATATGTAGCCCCAGCTGTCCTGGCACTCACTATGTAGGCCAGCTCGCCTGGAACTCACTATATAGACCAGGATGGCCTTGAACTCACAGAGATCCGCCTGCCTCTGCCTCCCAAGTGCTGGGATTAAAGACATGTGCCACTACACCTGGCTCTCAAGTAGTCTTCTATTACAAATAGGTGCTCCTTGGCATACACAGGCACATGCCCACATGCCCACACAAAATAAATAAGAGGCTGGAGAGATGGCTCAGTGGTTAAGAGCACTGGCTGCTCTTGCAGAGGACCCTGGTTCAGTTCCCAGCACTGACATGGCAGCTAACAACCATCTGTAATTCCAGTTCCAGAAGATATGACACTCTCTTCTGACCTCCATGGGCATTGCTTGACATGGGGGCACTTACATACATGCAGGCAATAAACTTATACATATAAAAATAATAAAATATTTTAAAACTGAATTTTAAAAAATGTGCATATATTTATTTTTTATTTTATTTTATTTTTTTGAGATGGGGTCTCTCTGTAGCCCCAGCTGGCCTGGAACTCCCAATATAGACCAGGCTGGCCTCAATCTCATAGAGATCTGCCTACCTCTGCCTCCTTAGTGCTGGGATTAGAGGTATGCACCACTACACTTGGCTCTGAATTCTATCTTTGATTCCTTGAGACTCTGGGGAAATTTCCCAGAGTGAAGGCTTTGGTGGGAAGACAAGACTAGAATCAATGACAAAAGACCCAGCCTGGGACTCTCAGTTTAAGTTCCTGCTCTGGTAAGTTTCTCAACTTTAATAATAAACCAGTAACTGGTATCTTTCCTAAAGCGTCTCAAGGACCTAACAACCTCTCTGAACAGTTTTGCCCAGAGCTTTGGCCAAGAGGCCCCAAAAAGAAACGTAAGGGAGACTAATGAAAACAGCCCATGGAGCCAGGCATGGTGGTGCATGCCTTTAGTCCCAGCAGAGGCAGGGAGATCTCTATGAGTTCTAGGTCAGCCTGGTCTACATAGTGAGTTCTAGGACAGCTAGGGCTGCAGGAAGACCATCTCAAAAAGACAAAAAATTAAAAAAATTAAAAAAAATAAGAAAATAGCCCAGGGAAGCCATCAGTCACAGTGTGACATGTCACCTACCAAGTTTTACTTTTTTCCTTTTCTCATCAAGTTTCTGGGTCCTCTCTGCTGCCTGCTTCTTGGCTTTCCTCACCTTGTCATATGCAGCCTGGCAAGAAAAAGGAACACAGAGCAGAAAGTAAGCCAGAGAAAAAGGACAGAGCCCCCAGCCCAGTACCATCAGGGTCTCTGAGCTTAGACAGTGAATACTGTACCATGTGGCAGAGCATCAAGGCCTCTCCCGTCTTAGTACAAGTAAAGCCCACCCTGCTTAGCTTCTGAGATAGATGAGACCAGACATCTTCAGGGTGGTATGGCCACAGACAGCAGCAATCTCTAATCACCGGGGATAATTCAGTTAAAGGAGGTGGTACTTACCCTCGCTGCAGCATCCGTCAGCACCTCCAAGGCTTGGGAAAGCTGGTGGAAGTGTTCAGCTATACATAAAGACAAAAAAAAAACAAAAAACAAAAAACAAAAAACCAAGAACAAATAAAAATGGATGTGGTGATCATGTGCTTCCTCAGAAAAACCCTTCAAAGAAGCCGCAGGAGGACAGAAAGCCAACAGCACGTGACAGACCAGCAGTGAATAGTAAGTGTACCCCCAACTGACTGGGGACACCCCTAATACATGTAGAGTGATTCCCTGGGATTGAATCCCTGGGATCCCACTGATCAAGGCAGGCCATATGCACCTACATCTCCAGAATACACAGGCCTTAGGTAGGCAAAGTGCAGTGTCAAGTGAGCAGGTCTCTTCCTCCCCAAGCCCTTGAAAGAGTTTCACCTGCTCTGGGATTATCTGGATTTTTGTCTGGGTGGCAGGACAGCGCCTTCTGCCTATATGCCTTCTTCACCTAGAAGAATAAGACACAGTCATTCACTCCCACCACAGGGATGACAGGAAAACCATGCCCATCTAAAGGGCTGCAAGAGGGAGGCATGGGCCATGGAGGAAGATGGCCAATGCCACCCACAAGAAGACCAGGGCCTAGTTCCTGCTGAGTGCTCAGCCTCATCAATACCCATATCAAAGTTTCCTGGAAGGGCAGGATCATAGCATCCTGGTCTGGGTACAGCCATTTGCAAACAACTACCATACACACCTTTCGTGGACATGGGAGCTGGGGTAAGTTTTCTGAAGGAAAGTTTAGCCACAAAAAAATTTTTTTATTGAATTTTGTGAATTTCACACAATATAATTTGATCATATTTAGGCTCCTCTCCCCTATCTGCACCTCTCTTACAGTCTCACCCCCTGGATTTCATATACTCTGTCATATATATAAAGGCCTATGGAGTCTGTCCTTCCCAGCTGTCTGGAAAACTCTGTTTCCTTGTGGTCATCTACCACCTCTGGCTCTTAAAATACTTCTACTCCCTCTTCTGCAATGGTCCCTGAGCCTTGGGTGACAGAAGTGTCATATAGGTGTCCTATTATTGGCATTAATTTTTTGTTTTTCTTTGTTTCTGAGGCAGGGTCTCACTGTGTAGCTCTGGCTGGCCTAGAACTTGCTATATAGACCAGATTGGCTTTTAACTCACAGAAATGCCACTAATTTTTAACATTTTTGCTGGGCTTGGTGGTGCACACCTTTGATCCCAGCACCTGGGAGGCAGAGACAGGCCAATCTCTGTGAGTTCAAGGCCAGCCTGGTCTACATAGTGAGGTCTAGGCCAGCTGGGGCTACAGAGAGACCTTGTCTCAAAAAGACAAAAAATAAATAAATAAAATAAAATTACAGGGCTGGAGAGATGGCTCAGCAGTTAAGAGCAGTGACTGCTCTTGCAGAGGACCTGAGTTCAATTCCCAGCACCCACATGGTGGGCTATGAACCATTCTTAACTCCAGTTCCAGGGGAATCTGAAGCCCTCTTCTGACTTCTGCAGCAATGCACGACATGGGTGCACTCACATACATGTAGGCAATACACTCAGACACATAAAATAAAAATAATAAATATTTAAAAAAATAAAATAAATTACATTTTTATTATTTTGTGCTCCTGTACTGCATGCATGTGGAAGTCAGAGGCCAACCTTCAGGAGTTAGTTCTTTCCCTTTTCCATGTGGGTCCTGGGGATCGATCTCAGGTTGGCAGCCTTAGTGACGGGTGCTTTTACCCACTGAGCCACCTCACCAACTCTAGTGACTAAACTTTAAAATATATTTTCCCTTTGACCCAGCCTAGGAATTTGGACTTCAGAGGTAGGTCAAAATAAATATATAAAGGATACTCAATGCAATAATGTTTAAATGCCCAGTGGAACCAGCAAAACCTCCATCAACAAGGAGATCCATTAAAAACATACAGTAGTCTGACATGGTGGTACATGCCTGTAATCCCTGCACACAGAAGGCAGAGGCAAAAATTCAAGGCTATCTTGGGCTATATGACAAGTCCCAGGCCAGCCTGAGCTATGTGAGACCCTATCTAAAAATAAAAACAAAACAAAAATGATCATTAAGGGGCAGGCAAGATGGCTCAGTGGGTAAGGGTACTTGCTGCCAAGCCTGACAACCTGAGTTCAATCTCTGGGGACCCACTAGTGGAAGGAGAGAACCAACTTTTGCAAGTTGTCCTATTGTCTTCTGACCTCCATAAGCATACCATGGCGCATGTGCACTCACATACAAATAAGTAAATAAATAAATGTAATGTAAAATTTCACTTTAGGGCTAAAGTGAGACAGGTAGGTACCAGGTATAAAATTTAAAAGAAAATAAATTTCCAGGTGTTGAATCCCAGAACTTGTGGGTCTGAGACCAGCCTGGTCTACACAGAGAGTTCCAGGGGCTACAGGGAGACCCTGTCTCAAAAAGGCAAAAATAAATAAATAAAAGAAAAGAAAGGAAAAGAAATCAATAGAGAAAACAAATAGCTACAGACACTTGGGCATATGCATTGTTTTTTCTCAGAGTGTCATCAGGGCTGAGAGGGGAACCTCAAGCCTGTAATCTAAGCAGTTGAAAAGGCTGAGGCAAGACTGGGATACATAGTGAGTTCCAGAGAACTTGTCTCAAAAAATATTGAGCGGGAGAAGGGGGTGTTATTGAGAGAAAGACCCTAATTGGTTTTCTGAGATGGAGTCTTGCTGTGTAGCCCATGATGGCCTCAAAAGTCATGGTCTTCCTTCCTCAGCCTCCCAATTGGCTAGGAGTATAGCTATGCACAAACCTATATTATACACACACACCCCACCGCCCTTTTATTGTCTTTTTGAGACAGGGTCTCCCTGTGGCACTAGCTGGCCTGGAACTCCCTGTGTGGACCTCAATCTTCACAGAGATCCTGCCTGCCTCTGCCTCCCTGGTGTTGAGATTAAAGGTGTGTGCCATCACACCTGGCTCCCCCAACCTTTTTGAAACAGGGTCATGATATACAGTCAAGCTAATTGGAACTCACTATGTAGTCCAGGCTGACCTCAACTTTGATGCTCCTGCCTCAGCCTCCCAGGTGCTGCAATCACAGGCATGCACCACCAGGCCAAGCTCTAGAACTTTTTTTCCAAGTTTTTTAGTTTTTTTAAAAATATACCTTATTATTTTTATTTTTGTGTGTATGAGTGTATTGCTTGCACATATATAAGTGCACCCATGTTGTGCAGTGCCCACGGAGATCAGTAGCGGTGTCAGATCCCCTAGAACTGGAGTTATGGACAGTGGATGCTGGGAATTGAACCCAGGTTCTCTGCCAGAGCAGCCAGTGCTGTCAACTGCTGAGCCATCTCTCCAGCCCCCTCGAGAACTTTTTTTTTTTTGAGACTGGGTCTCCCTGTAGCCCCAGGTGGCTTGGAACTAGCTATGTAGATCACGCTGGCCTTGAACTCATAGAGATCCGCCTGCCTCTGCTTCCCCAGTGCTGGGATTACCTGCACCACCACACCTGGCTAGAACTTCTTTTATTAGCAAAAATAAACAAACAAGGCTACTAAGATTTTCTTTCATGTATGGCCTGTCTAGATGTTTTGTAAAGATCAGAGAATCTGCCTCTGCTTCCCAAGGTCTCTGCTGCTCACCTGTATTTTGTATAGGTTACCTACTGCTCTAACTCCTGGGAGGACCAGCTCAACAAGACTGGTTTTCTAGCCTTCTCAGGCAGAACCAGCAAGTACTTCTACACTCAAGGGTGCTAAATAGGAACCTTCAGAGACAGGCAGCCAGTATCTGTCAAGGCGGTCTTTTGCTGGGCAGGTGCCTCACTTAAGTTACCTCCACAGTCAGCCCAGTATCGCCAAGGTTGTGCTGCCACCTGCTGGCCCATGGCCAGCCCCACACCTGAACCTGCCAGGGCCAGCTCAGCTTTCCAGGTTGAATTTGAAGAGACTGGAATGACTCTCTGCTGAGGCCTTAAAACAGTGAACATGATGTTTCTCCTTGTCCTTCCACCTTCCCAACTGCCTATCTGGTTCTCTACCATTGCTCTCTCATTAAAAATTACAAAGCTATAGAGAGATGGCTCGGCAGTTAAGAGCAGTCGCTCCTCTTGCATAGGACCAGGGCTCGATTCCAAGCACCAACGTGGCAGCTCACAACTGACTATAACTTCAGCTTCAGAGGATTCAATGCCCTCTTCTGGCATCCTCAGGTACTGCAATAGTGCACATACATATGCAAACAAAACACACAAAATAAGAATAAAATATTGGGGCCAGGTTGGTTCGGGGGGAATAAAATAAAATATTTTTTAAATTACAATGTGGGGCTGGAGAGATGGCTCAGAGTTTAAGAGCACTAACTGCTCTTGCAGAGGACCCAGGTTCGATTTCCAGCACCCACATGGTGGCTATAAACTGTCCTTAACTCCAGTTCCAGGGGAATCCGAAGCCCTCTTCTAACCTCCACTGCATTGCACGACACGGGTGCACTCACATACATGCAGGCAATACACTCATACACATAAAATAAAAAGAATAAATAAAATATAAAAAATTACAATCTGCAGGAGAGATGGGTCACTAGTTAAGAGCTCATGCTGCTCTTCCTCCAAAGGACTGGAATTTAGTTCCCAACACCCGAGATGGGCAGCTCACAATCACCTGTAATTCCAGATCCAGGGAATCCTATGCCCTCTTCTAGTCTCTGCAGGCACCTGCACTCATATATATACCTTCAGATACACATATATACACATAAATAAACATTAACAATATACTGGGCATGGTGGCTCACATCTTTAATCCCATCCAGGATTCAGGAGACTGAGGCCAGAGGATTGTTGTGAATTTGAGACGGCCTGGCTGTGTAGTAAGTTCTGGGTTACAGAGTGAGACCTTGTCTCCACCCAGCCACCCTCTCCCCACAAAAAAACAATACGATGATAGGGAAAGGGCAGTGACAGTTTTCTAGAGTCTCACATTGCTCATCATCTTTTCCTCAAGGTTATGTGCCATTTGTCTTTCTCCTTTTCAATCTTTCACATCCTCTCCCAAGCCCACAGCTGCATTTCCCTTTTATTTTTCAAATACTTTATTCTTTTTATTTTATGTGTACAAGTGTATTGCCTGCATGTAAGTGCACCTATGTCATACAATTCCTGAGGAGATCAGAAGAGAGCATCAGATCCCCTCTTCTGAGTAAGACAGTTGTTAGCATCATGTGGGTGCTGGGAAGAGAACCTGGGGCCTCTTGCAAGAGCAGCCAGTGCTCTTAACCACTGAGCCATCTCTCTAGTCCCTGCTTTTAATTTTTAAATCAACTTTTATTAACCTTTTTCTTTTATATCTTAAGGTCTTTTATTTGCTTTTTTTCAGTAAGTAAAACACCACAAAAAATATAAAGAAGCTGGTAGCTGGATGTGGTAGTACATACCTGGAATCTCAGCACTGGAGAGGCAGAGAAAATTGCCAAGGGTTC